GAAAGTCGGTGGGGAGAGTCACCCTCCACACCATTTATCTGAGGCACATCTTAGGGTAGATTAATGGCTCTCTGGAAATGCTTCCTCTCTCCCCAGACAGAATGTAGACAAGAGCACAGACAGGCTAGCTAACTTTTAACAAGCTAATCCTACTCTCAGAGGGGAATCCAAATTCACCATTGTCACTTAATGAGTGTCCATATGAAATGGGCTTATTATCTGTGTCTCTCCCTAGTGGAGGTCTTATCCATAAGACAATTAATTCATTGCACTAATTAGCATATCCAATTGTAATTTCAGCAAAAGGCTGAGGATTGAATGGATCTGGGGGATGAGCTGGCCTCATGTTTGCCTGCTCTTTTAAAGAATGGAGTTGCATAGATGGGGAAGCTTTGCGATATTACTGTATGTCTGCTGTGATTACACGCTGAAGCTTAGTCTAAGAGCTTTGCCTGTGATACCTTGTGCAAACTTTGACATTAAAGTAAATAAATGCTAAAGCCGTGACCTGTACTGTTGTAGCAGCCAGTGACCAGCATGCTCCCTTTTCCATTTCAGACACTGCTTTACAGCACCTTGCCGAGCTAAGAAAATTAGACATATCGTGTAACAAAGAGATTGGTGGTGGCTTTAAAGACGCAACAGCTCATTTGGCCAGCTTGAAAAATCTCGAAGTCCTTGATCTCCACCAGTGCTGTGTAACAGAAGAGGACATGACTGTTTTGTGTAAGGACATGTTGAGGAAATCCATTAAGAATGTAGGTTTTGACTTCTGAAAATATCTCAAAGGTGTAAGAGATTCTGCCTAACCTAGTCTAGCAGCAATCAGTATATTTTCATTAGGCAGTTCTGGAAGTACGGTGTGGAGGATAGCTTTCTTGATCAATATGGAATGGTTTTTTTCTCTATCAAAGGAAATCTCATAGTGTCTGATCCCACATGGAACTAAGGACCTGAATCCACCATGATTCAGACCCATGATGTGAATGTAGGAACTGCCACCGAGCACCGCTTTTTTTGATAATCAGTAATTTTGGAAATATCCAGAGACAGTTCCCCCACTGGTATAAATTGGCACAGATCCAAGGTGCATATGTGCATGTAAATGTAACTGCCTAAAACTCCCTTGGTGAACTTTAAGGCAAGTAGAGAGTGATGTGAGGAGATCTCGCATTGCTGCTGCTCTCTGTTTTATAGAAAAGCTGAAGACTACAGTTTCCAGATTGAATTGATCCAACTTGTAAATGCTATTAGGAAGACAAAGACATTTCCTATTCAGTCAGTGAGACAGTTTATTTTTCTGTGTGCGTTATCATAACTTCTTGATATTGATTTTTACTCTTCAGAACAACAACAAAAAATCCTGTATTGCCCACATCTTATTTTCCGTGATAAAGAAGATGGTTTGAAAAGCTGCTGCTGAAGCATTGGGAAATACTAACTATTAGTAAAAGCAATCATGGTTTATTTTTAATTTCTTGACCCAGAGAGAATAATCACATTAATATAAAGGAGTTTCAGTTAGCAGTGAAGACATTTGGAAATAACCCCCATCTCATTTAATGTTAAATTCCCTACTTCACCTAGAAAATTTCAACAGGAAGCCGTGTTCTGACAACCTTCCTTGCAGTATGTAATACCTAATTTCTTAAACATTCCTACTGAAAATGACAAGGCTATTTATGGAGTAAAACATTGCTCACCATAAATTCGAGTGTCAAAACTTTGCCTTGACTTTTGGATTGATTTATAAAGAAAAGTAATTATGTCAGGCAAATATACAACTACGTATTTGTTCTGGATCGGTGACTGTCTAATAAATATTTCATGTTTTCATAGCCCAGGTGATACCTTTACTCTCCAGCCTCCAAGAGCTGAATTTATCGTCGAATAAAAATGTAGGAGTCTCATCTGATCCTCTTCTGAGCAGACTCAGGTTTTTACAGAAGTTGAAATCTGTGGCTGTCAGCAATTGTGGTTTAGGCGAAGAGTCGTTTTCATCACTAGGTAGGAATGGTTTTTTTGAAGTGTGTCTATTTTCTGTGTATCCTTGTGGGACGAAGCACTTCATTCTCCTTTGGCTGAACTCCAGAGATCATGGTTACATTATACCACAGGTCCTGACCGAAAAAGCCTGTAATGAAACCAGTGCTTCATGGGACCTGGTTGCAAGGGAAGACCATTGTATGTCTTCCCCCATTATACCTGACTGGATGAAGTCCTTTTAGTCCTTTGTCTGACAGTGAGCTTTCGAATACTCCCTAATTTTGGAATAGAAAGCAAAACGTGATTTCATATTATGCTGTAATTGTAGTTTGGTTGTAACACTGCATTTGCAGTTTAGTGGGGTAAAGTTTTCACTGAATGTTTTCCACCTCACTGCAGGTGAAAGTTTCAGTAGAAACATTCTGGGACAGTTAAGCATGGGGCAACGGAGGAACAGAGGCAATGACTGCAGTAGCAGAAAAGATATGGCACAGCCGTGAAGAAAAGTCCAGTCTAACACAGGATATGTAAATTCAGCCTCTTTTGCCTACTTATTGCAAATCTCAGTGGATTAGCGGCTACACTGTCCCTTCGATAGGTGTTCCATATGGCACGTGAAATCTAAGTACAGAGGGATCTGTTACTTACTGTGTATTGTGCACTTAGAGTATATTTTGTACTGTTTACTAGTGACATTGAAACCTGTAGTAAAACTTGACTGCCTGCAGCAGAAGCAGTAGCAAACTAAACTGGTCTGAGGTCCCTGCAGTTACAGTACTATATTTGTATCATTACAATTATGTAAGGGTGACATCATGGAAATCGGTGTTGTCAAAAGATACAGAGCATTTCACCTTGCATGGTGAGTTCACGGCAAAAAATTTCTGTCTTTAAATTGATATGAAATGGTTTAAAAACAAGCTGTTATATTAAATTGACTTCAGTGGGACAAGGTTAAGCCAATAACGTAAACAGAAAGACAAGAAACCCCTCCGCAGAGTCCTTAAAGATTCTATAGGCAGACCCTTTTTGTATTCTTTAAAGAGCACAGGAAATATTTTTTTGTCTGACTTCTATTAGGATGAACTAAGTCATTCTAAGCACAAGTAGGCAGCCTGTTAGGAGCCTATTTACAGGTGAATTGCTGGTGAGGTGTCTATTGAGGCCATGTTGTTTTCTCTTAGTAAGCAGAAGTTGCTGGTCTTAATCTTTTCAGCTGAGGCTGCCCTTCACCTTCCTGGACTGGAGATATTAGACCTTTCTTGGAATAAGTGTGTTGGTGGGAACCTAAAGCTGCTTTTGGGAGCGCTAAAGCTTGCAACGGAGATTCAAGTGTTAAGACTGAGCAGCTGTAACTTGGTGGCTGAAGATTTGGCACTTCTAAGTACGTATAACATGGTATTTACTAGCAGTCAAGGAGCCAGGGCATTTAGACCACAATTCAGAAGGGACTTGTTCCATGGGCTGAACACGTTTTGCATAAATCAAATGAAAAGATGGAAAATACAGCAGTATTTTTCCCAGAAAGGGTTTTCATTTTGCTGAAGACTGCGTGTCCTGTACATGCACAGTGCAAAAGCTGAAATGGATAAAAACGTAAAGAATCATTTTAGCAGAGTTTTATCCATTAATACAAAAAGACAGCACTTAGAAAAATGTAGGTTTTACGTCTGATTTTTACATTAGACATTTAAAGCTGCCTCTGAGGAGTTTTATTTTGCTTGGTTGCTGGTTTTATGTTCAGTAATTTATGGAAAATGTACATGCTGACAGCTGGTAATGCAGGCACTACCAGCTTTCAGTCCATTAGGTGTGTTTCTGGAGTCAAACTATTATGGGAGAATTAAACCAGAAATATTTTAGCCCACTTCTTAGCAGCTGCTGAGAAATACTGGAAAATAGGAACCCAATGAAGGAATAAATTCTAGGATCCTTTTAAAAACCTGTTTATTTTATAATCATCCTTGTGGTTCTGCGGGTCTGACTCATGGGTTTTGAGTGTCTGAGATTGGCGATAGCTGTGTGACAACTATTAAGGCCCTGTAATCTGAAGGCTGGTGAGAAGAAGTCTGAATATTTTTTACTTTACAAACATGACCCTTGATGGGTGTCTCCTTTGCCAGTCCTACATTAAGGACCCTGGTTCCTTTAGGGTATATTAGGCCCATTACCCTCCCACAGTGAGAGGTGGCTGTTGTAATCATGCAACTTCATCTAGTTTTGTTTTCCTCTTTCTAAATCTCCCTGTAAAGCTTGTCTGACTATTTTCATTGGCACTTGATATAAGCTCCTTCCAACTGACTCAAAGCTTTTCAGGTTGTCATACAATTTTAACCGCATACTTCTGTTCCTTTTGAATTGCCTGTGTTTTAAATGTTGTACACTCCTTCAGCTGTGATAAAATGATCTTTCAGAGATCAACAGCAAATGATTTTATGTTGCTGAGGCGTTGAACCTTGCTGTTTCACTGCCGAAAGGCCTTAAATAATATGGTATTATTTAAAAAGCTTTTAAAGCAATTGCCAGGATGTATTAGTTGTGTTTGTGTCTGTCACTTCTTGCAGCATTACTGACGCGGGATGGCCATCTAGCCAGATTACAGAAGCTGGATTTGAGTTATAATAACAACATCTCTGATGAAGGGTGGGTCGTTTTCTGTCAAGGCTTAGCAGTACTCAAAGAACTCTCAGAGCTGGATGTCAGTCTTCGCCCATCATCCTGGCGTGACTGTGGGACGTGGTTCAGCGAGTTGTTAGCAGCGCTGACAAAGCTGCCTGCCTTGGCAGAGCTGGGGATGCAAAGATGGGTCCTTTCAGAATCGCAGCGGAAACGACTGGAAAGCTTTAATCAAGACAACAAAAGAAACATTCGTTTTGACTGTTGATGGAGGTTGAAGGTTTCTGGAAGGCCTGTCACAAGCAGCACATGAACTGAGTATTATGTGTCTCTGACTTAGAAGACTGCCCAGTTTTTAGTAATCTCGTCTCATGAGAGCTGTTGAAATAGTTCCATAATTACATAAAACTGCTATTTAACCTTCTACATGCATGGATCATTCAATTTAATAATATATTCTTTCAGATTCTCTGGGCTGTGCTTACACTGCTACACTATGTCTACTATATATGTCTAATCTTCATGTTGTGAATACAGCAATGACTACTGTCAAAAGAGCAGTGATGATTTCAGATGGACACACTGCAGGAGGGAAGTGCCTGGGGTGTGTGCGCACGCAGGTGGGTGGGCAGTGTGAATGTGGCCTCATGTATATAAGGAAAATGCCTCTAATGTGAAAATCCTTGAAACCTCTATGTTTCAAATTTTAGTTTCTTCTCCCCCAAAACTTTTGCCTTCTTATGAATGCATTAAATCTACATAACTGTGAGATTTGGAAAGCATCCCAACAACTCAGGATTATATATTAGTCCAGTAAGGAGAATACAGAAGGAGCTGTTCTGCCTCTGCTCTGGCCTTGATGCTATTTCATAGTGTAAATGTGTCTTGTCTACAGAATCAGCATAAAATCAAGGTAAGAAACAGTTGATTGGTGTCTTTGCAGGTCTCAGAGATCATGAGGTCATTAAATCAGAGATATGTCCTGCTACCTTAGCAAGGGTTTTGGATACAGAGCAATCCATAAGCGTTCTGGATAAGGCTATGCAAAGACTTCAGGATACTTCATGAATGCTCTTGCTCATCCTGAGCTGATTCAGCCTTACCCAGACTTTGCTTTCTGTACAGACCCTTTTATGACATGCAGCACAAAACCAAACTTCCAGATCTAATAGTCTGACCTAGAGCATATGAAAGCCAGTGGGAGTCCCCACAGTGCCTTCATGCTTCCTGCATTCAGGATTAATCCACTAACCTTCACAACACCTTGTGACATAGACAGTGTTCTTATCCTTACCCTAAAGATGAAGGAAATAAGCAAAGTCTATTATTCAAAGCCACAGGGCAGCTTCTAGCTAAGAGCAGAGCACCCTGCTCTGTGCTCAAGACTTGTTAGAAAAAGCACCACCTTGGGACATGTAAGTGGCTCCTCCTTTTTTCATTTGATAATTTCTTAATTGGCATTTTCTTGTATTTGCCTACACAGAGCGAAATTCTGGCATAGTCACTCGTGTCACGGAGCATGTTAACCCACACGTGAGCTCCAAGACTGCAGTGGGATTATTCATTGGTAAGGTATTTTAGGAAGTAAAGATATTAGATCTGCCCACTGAGTGAGGAGTCTTAGAGAAATCCTGAGGCAGCTTGAGGGATAAAGTACTGCTCAATTAGCCCTGAGTATATCTACATGCTGCAGCAATCTCCTGGAGGAGAGGCGCATCAGGATCATTCAGTGGCACTTTCCTAACTTGCTAGGACCCCTCTCAGCAAGTTCTCCCATGCAGATGCAGATCAATATTCAGCTTTCTGTCCAGGTGACCCTTCCAACTAGGATCAGGGTTATAACCAGCAGCTGACCATGCTGTGCTGATACCTCTTGTTAGTTGAATCCGTGACTTCATGTGGGGTCTCTGTGGACTTTCTGGTTCCAGTTTCAGTTCCACTTGAAAAGTGCACTTGGCTCCCCCAGCTCTGAGAAATGTGAGATGGAGTGTCTTGGTCAGAGGTAGCAGTGAATTGCTGCAGTGTGGCATCAGTTATTTTCTACAGAGATCCTCAGCCTCTGAAATGAAGCAAAGAGTCCCTGTTTCATACAGGGATAAAAAGAGAGACTTTCAAGCAGTGACTCAAGGCAGGGGAGTTATTCTAATGTGGAAGTACCACCATCTCTGTTTAACAGCAGCACACCAACCTCTTCTCTTAATCATTTGCCTTCCTGTGACTTTCCTCCTCAAATCTGCCTTTGGTCCAACTGGGAAATTGATCTTTTATCTGTTCTGTGAGAATCTCTCTGAATCACTTCTTTCCCACTTGAACCTCTAATTCGGTAAAGCAGCTGGCCCATGTTTAATGTCCGGTATCTGTTGTAATCTTACTGACTGAACTGGACTTCAGTGTTGGGGTTTCCTGCTTTGTCATAGTTGGGTTCCTCATTCTCAGCTCCAGAGCACAGTATGGACTCACTGCTAGCAACCTGTCCACTTGCTGTTCATGATCCCCTTCTCAGTCCTTTGCCCTCTCATGATTCTCTCATACCTATTGGACCACTAAAAGGCTTTTATTAAATAACTTCTATTAAATGTGCTGTCTATCTGCCCATCTTTCTGGAAATCTCTTCCAGTGATTGCCTCCTCGGTGGTCTCTGAATCATGCTTCTCTGTTTGCCTTCACTTCGGGTGAAAAAATTTCGTAAGACACCTCCAAACAGTCAAAACAGCATCAGTTACATAGTAAAATTGAAAACCAAACCTGAGCCATCCCACTTCTCTGCACTACCAGCTTTCTCCTGCCAACAAGCACATTAATGAGATTTCAGTATCAACCGACCCAAGAGCCAAAGGGAAATCAGACCCATACCCTGGATGCAGATGTAGCCGCAGCATCCAGAGAGCCCTGCCTGGAGGTGAAGCTTTAGCAAGAGCTGGTCTCAGCAACCCTGCCTTCACCACCTCCTTCTGGATGCCACCACCTTCTCTGAGGCAACAAGGGGAGGGAGAGCAGGACTGCACTTCCAACCAGCCAGTTAAACTAAATAACGGGTTCTGCTCCCACCCACTTGTGCATTTTGAATCTGCCCAGTGGCCGGTCCCAGTCCAGCTCTATGCTTTATGTATGCTGCAAACAAAACTCTGGAGGGGTTTTAAGGAGTAACTGAGCAATACAGAATAAAAACTAGACAAGGGCATCTGATGCCTAGGACAAACAGCTATTTGTAAAGCGCTGTGGAAAGACATGGTTGCATATAAATTTAGCATTTATTAGATTATGCTAGAATATGCTAGAATTATAGTAAGGAGTGTTTGTCATGGTTCTTTTGAATAACAAAGGTGTTATGACATGCCAGGACCTGGAACCATTGCAGAATATTGCATTCTGCAGACTCTCTGCTTTCTAATAAGCCTGTCGTACACAGACATTTTGCAAACTGTCACCAAGCTATCTCAGAGATGAGCTATAACACTAAGGATTTGACAGCTTGCAGTCATTCAAAATGCTATAACTACAGGTTGTCAAAACATCAGTGAACGGTTTTGCGAAACTGTAGAGATACTTACAAAACAGCTTTTTACACCTCTGTGAGACAGGATGGTAATGCAGGTTCTGGTAGAAGTGCATATGTTCTGACTGCCTGGAATCCTCCTCCATATTTCGAAACAAAGTATTGATCATTTCTGAACGTAAAACTCCTAAAATAACTGCTAGTAGGTGGGGCCACAAATACTGTTTTGCTCTAGATATGGCAGTGCCTCACTGACTGGAAAACAGATTTCTAAGAGTTGCATGTAAAATACTTTGGGATTCAGAACAAAGAACATGTCATTGCACCAGATTCCTACAGATTACATTAGTTTCCAGTCAATCAGCTGCCTTTATTCTTTGAGATAACATATATTCAGAATGAGACATCTCAAGAATATTTCAAAATCTGCCTGATTCAGCTGGAGTCAGTGTTGACAAAAACACAGAAACAAACCTCAAAAAAATAATCTGTTTTCATTGTAACACTCACTGATTCAAATGCTTTAATACTGCTTGTCTCCTGCTCGCTTATCTCTGCTCACATTTCCCTTCTTGTAAATGAAAAGAGCTCTCTGCAATTTACTTCCCAAATATCACTTTTTGGCTTCTGATCCTCTTACAGGCTTCTGTTTTCCCTTTCCTTTTCCTTTCTTTTCCTTCTTTCTTTTTTTTCTGTCAAATATTAAGTGTCAAGAAAGGTCCAATCCCCTTCTGGTTCATCAACGCACACCACAAACTTTGGATCTGAAAAAGAGGGAAGAACAATCTGCTTACCTGGAGGAAAAGGGTAAAAGCAAACACTTATGTGGAACAGGATTACTGGTGGATATTCTTGACACAAAAAGCCAGGCACATTGTGGTCTCCAAAGACCCCTTTTATTCTGTATTAGACTACATTGTCTGCAGCTAAGATAGACTGCTAGCCACCTGACTTTTACTCTGTATGTTATTTTTTTCAAGAGGAATTTCTTACCAGGGAGGACACTAACACTGTAGTCCTCCAGACACTTTGATTAGAGTAGTAAATGACTACGTCTACACATCTTTAAATGTCACCTTTTAGTTCAGAAGAACAGTTTGGGAGAAAGACATTAGTTCATGAAGAAATTACAAACATTACAGAGAGGAAAAATTTAGGTTCAGAAGAATCAAAGACTGCGGATTTGCCTTTCCTTCCTTCTTACCCTGTATTTTTTCTGAGCAAGTTAATTCTATGGCCCACTGGTGATACAGACTGATGTTCTTTTGGGGGAAAAAAACCACACAAAAACACACAAAGAATGTGTCTTGTTCAATGTGTTTGCACAATGGATCTTCAACTCTCTACAGCTAAAATACAGTCAGGAAGAGTGGAAAATGCTACCTGCGGTTAGTTTCTTCTATAAGTAATGCCTTGACTTAGAGGATCTGCCTTGGTTTTAGACACAATAATCATTCCCCTTCCACTGGACAAGGAACCAAGCAAAGCTCCATTGGAAGTTGTAAGGGCTGTTCTGTGCCTGCTGACTGTGACCTGGCAGTTCAGTGACAACCTTCTGGAACGTTTCTGAGTGATGTCCAGTACTGTATTTCCCTATATACTACCTTAACGTGATCAGTGACAGAAGTACTGCTCTGCTGTAGCTGATGCAAACAGTGGTTTAAGACATTTTGGGTGGTGCATAGAGTGCCCTGTAGGTTTTCCTGCAAAGTATCTATTACTAAAAACACAGCTTTGTTTGTGTATTGTGGTGGCTTTCTTAACACCCCTACCTTTAAGTTCATGGCCTTTTAATGCCTTTTTTTTCCTGTAAGTATCCCCAGGTGGCAGATGTCCCCTGACAGCACACTTCAATTGGAGGGTCTGTCATAGGGTTCCCATCCACAAGGACCAGCTCCAGCTGCTGAAGACTGTCTGAGTCCTCAGGCA